GGGATGAAGATTTTATTCTCACCATGGGACAGTACAGGGCGGCATGCTGGAATGTGGAAGGGACTGCCCAGGAGGGTGTTTGGTTTATAGGAGAATCCACAGGTATAGGGGTGGAATTTTGTCTCTTTAAAATTCCTGTGTTGGAGCCTGGGTGGAGTGTAATCACGTCCCTCCAGGAGGCCGAGGTAGGTGGATTGCTTGAGGTCAGGAGTTTGAGACCAGCCTGGCCAACACAGTGAAACCCCGTCTCTACTAAAAATACAAAAATTAGCCCGGTGTGGTGGTGCATGGCTGTAATCCCAGCTACTCAGGAGGCTGAGAATTGCTTGAACCCAGGAGAATTGCTTGAACCAAGGAGGCAGAGATTGCAGTGAGCTAAGATCACACCACTGAACTCCAGCCTGGGCAACAGAGCAAGACTGTCTCAAAAAATAATAAAATGAAATTCATATGTTAGGTTGTGTGTGGTGGCTCACACCTGTAATCCCAGCACTTTGGGAGGCCGAGGCAGGCAGATCACTTGAGGCCAGGAGTTCGAGACCAGCCTGGCCAACATGGTGAAACCCTGTCTCTACCAAAAACACAAAACTTAGCTGGTCATGGTGGCAGGCGCCTATAATCTCAGCTACTCAGGAGGCTGAGATGGGAGAATGGCTTGAGGCTGCAGTGAACCGTGACTGAGCCACTGCACTCCAGCCTGGGAGGCAGAGTAAGACCTTGTCTTAAAAAGAAAAAAAAAAGATAGACCATGAACCCTAACCCCTGTGCTCAGAAGATCTAACAGGGACGAGCCAGGCAGGGACATCAGGAGCCCCAACATGTCCTGCTGAGTCCTGCCCTGGGCATTTCTCCTGGAATTATATCTCTTCTTAGGCAGAGATGAGCCTGTGACTCACCAAGACACTGTTGCTAAGGTTCCAATGGAAAAAGCTGGAAGAAAGAGCACATAAAATGTTCAAGCCTGGGCTCAGTGGCTCACACCTGTAATCCCAGCACTTTGGGAGACCAAGGCGGGCAGATCACATGAGGCCAGGAGTTCAAGATCAGCCTGGACAACATGGTGAAACCCTGTCTCTACTCAAATTATTAGCGGGGCCTGATGGCATGTACTTGTCGTCCCAGCTACTCAGAAGACTGAGGTGGGAGGATCGCTTGAACCTGGGAGGCAGAGGCTGCAGTGAGC